CATCCAAATATAATATATTTCATATCTATTGAAGGGCAAAAACATTTGGAAGGATTCCCCATTATTAATCCAAAGGCCAATCTTCATTACAGAAGACCAGATAAATAATTACATGTTTGTGTTTGTACTGTAAAATGTTCTTCTGGATTGCCCTTATGCTTAGCATCTATATTCTTTTCTGATACATGGGGGAACACCCAAAGCCACCCATGTTATTAATTACAGTGAATAAAATCAAAACTGAAATACAAGATGCCCTAACAAGACAGGCAGCTGAAGATGTTTCTTTGATCTACTAACATGAGGTTGGCTTTGAAAAGGCCAAATTTATTGCTATCTCTGAGTTTTCCTCAAAGTAGAATGAGATCTTGCTTTTCATCTTTTTAATTTATCTCTTTGTTTCCATTTCTAGGCAAGAGTGATCATGGGCAACTGTTTTAATTTTAATTATTTCTAAAATATTTCAAGGAGAATTTTGTTTTCCTCATTACAAAACCTCACTCTGAATGATATCTGAGAAACCACAGTGAATAAAATAGCTCTGAGAATCACAAAACCATGTGTGCAAATAAGTTAAACAATGTCAACCAGACAAAATTAAAAAAAGGAAAATATGGCCAACATATGCAGTTTTTAGGAAAGGAGAAACACTCTCTTTTTACCCTCATCAGCTATTCAGAGGAGTATGCAGATACTGAGTCATATAAATAAATCACTGTGGGAGATTTGGAAATCTGTAGGTGAGTGTTAAAATAGCTTGCCCATATGTTTAGTAGAACGTAGATGGCAGGATAGATTTGGAGAGATTTACTGGGTAGCTTCACTGCCCGTAGCCATCAAGCAGTATTAGATAAACTTCTACAGGGCATGGAAGGATCGGTTTGTTGGTGAATAAACTGGACATTTACAAGAGATGTAATGTCTTACAAACTATGAATAGTCACTGCTGTCTTATTACAAAGCCAACACGCCAATTAGATAAGTGCCAACTTGTTTCTAATGCACATTAAAAAAAAGTTAATATGCTGCACCCATTTTAATTATGTCCAACATGCCAACTAATTTTATTCTGTTTAAATAAAGGATATAAGCAACAGATCTATCACGCTTTGAAATGATCCAGAAGTGCTTTAGACCTCGCACAAGCACCACACCTCTCTTCATTAAAGTTAAGGCAACTCTTAAAAGTAATAGCACCATTTTTCCAGGCTTATGCAGAAACCTGGAAAATGAACAGCCAATTGAGTTGTGCTCACATGAGGTTCACAGCACTTCTTCCAAATTGTTTTCAAAGCATCCACAGCTCTTACAAACAACAAAGTCATGATGATCCTCAATCATTGATACCATGATAGTTCCAACAATACCAATGTTACATCCCTGTAACCAGAACTTTATTCTGTACCAAGACAGGATCAGGATATCTAATGAAGGTCCCATCACAAATGATCCACAAGTTGCAAAGAATATGGGGGAAATATTTTATGTCACGATGGCTCTGTTTGAAATAGACAAGCTTCTGCCTGATATGAGTTTTTCTGACCCATTGGGATTCATATATTAGAACAACATATTTTATGTGTGGTCAAAACCCATAAACAACATATAACACACCTTTGTTTCTAAGCAAATCAATGCGCTTGAGATCTATTTATGTGGGGTGGATCAGAGTGAATTGTTGGGGTGATATGGAAATATGATTTGTATTTTCACTTATATGTATATCTACTTATACTTATTTACTCTATTTTTATTCACGTTTTACTTAGTTTGTTATATTAATTTTGTAAACAGTTTTACTAATATCTAGTGTTTAACTTTTATTTTGATAAGGCCTTAGGGCTAATCAATAAACTTTGATTTGATTTGAGTTTTTCCCTTCTGACTAAGACGGGAGTGGGGGGTACTGACTCATGAAACACTAAGCTTAAGAACATTTCAAATTCCACCATGGTATGAGAGAGGTACTCCGGACCTGAAAAGACATAAAGGATGGGCAATTAGCATAAATAATCATTGGCTACTGAGCCCAGCCAATACTTTGGAATCTTTGCCTGGAGTACCAGCATAATACCACATTTAAAAACTCTGCAGTAGTAAATTAGCATCAAGTCCCTTATCCTAAATATTTGCAGGGCAAGAGTTACATGGCATAGGGCTACCAGTTAGGCAAGATAGCATCAATTAGAGATGCCTGATACATAGGATATATTATAGGGATAACAATGGGATACATCGCTCACTAAGAAAACACTAAGTAGGTTGATAAAGTGTCATACAAACTTCCTGTATTGAGTCAGCTCATCCAATTCTGAATGTGCTCTATCTCTATTCACGTACTTCAAGTAAAGTGTTCATGTATTCTGGAATATAAAAGCATTGTACTCCAGGCATTAATACTAATGTATTATTATTATGCATAAAATGTATATTCCAACACCCACCTTCAATTATTTTCTTTTGGTTCCTTGCGTAATTCACTTAAATTTCTTTTTTATTCATCTCTCAACTGCAGAATGGATAGAGGTACAAATTACAGCAGCCTACACACATCTACTCACGCCTTTATCTATCTATCCATCCAATTCTGAAGCCACCCAACTCCTTGATGACTTTGAGCAGCTTACAGATAAACAGAAAAACAAGATATGTAAAGAGAACCCTGGCTGACCAGAAGAACAATGCCTGCTATGTGGAGTAGCAGCAAGGCTTCCTTGGACTTAAGCTTGACCCTACTGACTCCAGGTAGACACTCATGTCAGCAGCAACAGGGAAGTGGTTTGCCACTGCCTTCTTGTGTGATTTTTTCCCCTAAACTCTCACAATAATAGGATTTCTTAGAAGTACTATCTAAGCTCAGCCCTGCTTAATTTTCAAGCCCAGATAAGGCCAGTCAGGTGTTGCCACCAACCCACCACATAGCCATATAGTAAGTTGCTTGGTAATTAACCCTATTTTAGGAGGCAATCAATACAGCAAACTACTAAGCACCAAATAATTTTCTCCTGTGGTTACGAATAACTTTCCAGAGCAGTATATGGTAACAATCATAATTCTAAGCCAATTTACTTTCAGGTAAATATCAACTATGTAACTGGTTACTGACACATTCCTAATAAAGATTATCAGCAATTATTCTACACTGCAATAACTTGCTTACTGAAGAACTTTATATGCAATGTTAGGAAGTAGAAAGGTTTACTTTTTATAAAACCAACCTAGAATGTGTAGGAATTGCACAGTCACTTTCAAGTAAAATAATTCTAAATGAACAAGTCATTACCTCTTCAAAATACAAAACTCAAATGCAGAAACTTTTGAAAAGAGCCTATCAAATTTCTCAATTTAGTGTTACCATTTATTCCCTTTTTGTTAAAAAAAAAAGTCAATACGCGAACATAGATCTGACAGGAGCTGCTGCTGCTTGATTTCTGAGAATTTCGCTTTATCCTGAAACACAAACCTATCCCTATTTGCATCCTTCTATATGGGGTGTGTGTGTGTGTGTGTGTGTTAAAAGGGTTTGTTGTGGGTAGCAGAAGAATCGAGAATATGTTTCTGATGATTTTACTGCTACATCTGAATCTAGCAAGTTGCTTTAAGTATTATTTTGATTACCCAGCTATGGAGATACAAGTTTCTGAACATGCGTATTTGTTTCTCCAAAAAACAATGGAACTAATTCAAGTAATATCTCCAGCACTTTAAAAAAGGCCAGTTAGATGCAGCATCTAGCCAACTTTGGCTGATCTTGAAAGAAACTAAGTAGGGTTGGACACAGTTAGTACTTGGATGGGAGGTCATTATAGAATTACAGGGTTGCAGCTAACTAGAAAATCAAAAAAGAATGGTAAACCTTTGTTGTTGTTGCCAAGGAAAGCACACGGACAGGTCCAATAAAATTACCAGGAGTTGAATGCAATTCAAATGAGTCTTTACTTTAACCAAGAGAAGTTTGCATTCATTTTTATTTCTTAGAAAATGCTGGTCAGACAAAATGGATTAAATTCAGTTTAAGACTATCACAGCACCTAAAAAAAGAAATAGGGAGGAAGGAGGAGGAGGAGGAGGAGTTGTTCACATTTATCACTTGATTTCATCTTCCAGGGTTATCGTGAGGTCACTGAGAAATTTCTGAACATGAGTTTAACGATTCAACTTTGAGACATTTTAATTAGCTTGAATACTGGTTGGTGAAATCAATATCACTTCAAAACTTGTCTGATTTAATTGGCCCAGAGCAGCCTTCGTCAACCTAGTGTTTTCCATATGTGTAGGGATTAATTCCCAGAAATTTTAATCAACAAAGTTAAAGGCTAAGTTTGTTACTACAGGTAAGGCTCCAAACTACTACTCTGCAACTGACATTTCTAAAATAATACCAACTGGAAAAGCAATTATTCCCAACCTGGATCTAAACCCTAACAGGATTCTTGGGTCACATTTATGGAGTCTTGTTATTACCTGCAAAAACCACCCTTCTACATGAGAATGCATATAAAGATGCAAAAACAGAAAGATGTATTTTCTGACATAGTGTTCCAAAGTTTTAAAACGTTTGTTCTTTCATGAACTTTTTTTTAACAAGTTCCCACTGAATCAAAGTAATAGAGCAAATTATGCATACCTCTCAGACTCAATTTGGAACTATAGAAATCCTTCATTTGCACTTAAATTTCTGTTATGTGTCCAATTGAGAAATTGAGACTCATATAGGTTAGTAATAGAAATAGAGTTTCTAACAAATTTCCAAATTGCTTGTTTCCACTGTATAATCTAAATTCTTCTTTAGTCCCATCAAGTGAAGATCCTGAAAAGGAACACACACCCTATGTAATGAATGTATGGTATCATTGCACTTTTTGTAGTAGGTGCTACAGGTGTTCCAGAAGTGGGCTGTTTCCTTTTTTGGAACAAAGGATCTCTACCAGGCAAGTAAAATCATGCATGGGTAAATGACATTTGTTCTTTATTTAATATTACAGTGAATTTTACGTTACAGCATTTTACATTTTCCCTCCATGTTAGTACCTACTAACTCTTGTTAAAATAAAGTATCCTCAGATGTGAAAATGTAAAACAAAAATCAAAACAACTTTTTTAAAAAAACAAATGTTAAGAAAAACTCAGACACCATAGAATACAACATCGTTAAGGTATATTAAGGCAAGAAATAAGACCAACATACTGATTTCTCAAATGCCACAGCCCCACATAGATTTTTGACTAAGACCAATGGCAAAGATTATCTTGCTTTCATACTTGAGACATGTTACAATGTCCATGCAAGCACGTTCTGTGTAGGAATGCTCACCATATAGTCAAGTGAACTGGAACTTGTTATCTTTACTATAACAAAAGTCAGTACCTAGATAATGAAAAGAGGAAGTTCTGTTAGAAAGAGGAGTACAGAGCACTTATTATGGTATTAGGATTTTATTCTGTACTTCTTGCAAGTAGTCCAAAGTGGAATTAAATCATTTCCAGTCCATGAAAACTTACGGCTGGGTGGCGTGAAGAGGAATGGGCAAAACAATAAGCACCCTGAAGCACATTTCTGTTTCTCTATGCTCTACCCACTTTAACTTCACAACAAACCTGTGAGGTCAGTTAGGCAGAAGGAAGGGAGGAAGAGAAGGTCATGCAGCAAGTTTTATGGCTACATGAGATCCAAACCTAAATCTCATCAGGATTCTTGCTGCCTCACCATATTGTTCTTCTTTGACATGGTGCAAAGCTAACGGGCCTCCAGATACTGGTGAAGTATAGCTCTTTGCAGCCCTAGCAATTACACCCAAGGGGAAAGGATACTGGATACTGTTGTTCAGCAATATCTCTAGAACCACAGATACCCCATTACACCCCATGTTGATTGATCTTTCTTTCCACCGCATACGGGCATAGGAATGATTTGACTGATGTAGGAGTGGGATATGACCTGTGGGAGGAGAGGGATGTATTAGATGAGCACATCTAAGATTTTTTTTAACACGGAACCACATACAGACATGCCTTAAAGGGGAAACTCTAAGTTATACATAAACACTTGAAAAGCACTGAGCTATTTTGCCATCTACTTTAGAAAAAAATGCTTTGAGAAGTTGCAGTCTTGAGCACAGGAATGGCACAGAAAGTAAGGCATTTAATAATCCTAGGTTTCTTCTTGAAATCAGCAGCATTTTCACTACAGCAAACATTTGAACCTTGAAAAAGGTCATGGCCATTTCAAAAAGAGAAATGGCAGGCAACAGAGGGGCTGTTCCACAACTGTTACTATGTTGAAAACAATTTTTCTTCAAAAAAAAAAAAAATCCAAATGGATGATCTATGACTATACACTATGAGGCTGCTCCTATGTACACTCAATGGAACATACAGTCCACCATGTCCAGTAAGACCTTCTGGAAAATGAATTTGTTTCCAAAGCAGCAGCAGCAGGAGGGGCAGGATCAGAATCCCATTCACTGCCATTTAAGGCTGAGTGAAATTAAACTATCTTTGGTATAAACAACTACCTACATGCAACATATGCAAAATAGCATACTTTGCGAGAGCAGGACATGGGCTTAAAATAATAATAGTAATAACAACAATACCACTATGCCAGTATTCCATTCACAGTCTCACTTCACTATTAAAATGTTACCAGAAAAAGACAACATGTGTGTACCAATGTAAGCATTTTTTCAGAGTTATGTTTCAAGTTCAATTTTCTTGCATGAAGTTATTTAAAAAAAACTTTAGAAAGTTCTCTGATAGAAACAAGTCTGTATCATGTATCACATGGCCATATAATGTAAGACAGTGCCTCCCTTACTCTTAGATAGCTAACAATGTTTCTTTGTAATAACCAAGCAAAATACTTTGCTTCCAGGTTTTAAAATTTATTACTATTACACTTTTGCAACACTTATGGCTGTACTTATCACTTTTTTTTTTTAAGTGTCTCTATTTACACTTCTTGTGTTTTATTTTTTACCCAACTGTGAATTTAAAGTCTGAAATAAAAAGCTGAGACAGCAGTCTATAGTCATAGTATCAAAATGTTGTGATGGATCTGGGAGGCCATATAGTCCAACCCCCGCCTCAGAGCAGGATCCACTAGAGCATCTCTGAAGAAAACCATCCAGCCACGAAGACCCCAGTAAGAGAGAACTCACCAGTTCATGTGGCAGCCTGTTCCACAGGCTGATTGCTTACAGAGTTATGAATGTCCTCCTGATGTCTAGTCTGAACCAACTTCTTTGTAGTTTTAACCTACCTGTTCTAATCCTGCCCCTTGAGCAACAGAAAATAAACCCACTCCTTCTATATTACAACCCTTCAGATAATGAACACTACTATCATATCCCACTCAGTCATCTCTTCTGTAGGCTAAACATACACAGATCCTTTAATGTCATAAGAGAAAATATCAACAGCAACTTCAGGTCCCTTTAACAACAACAACAGCAGCAGCAGCAGCAGCAGCAGCAGCAAGATTTCTGGTGTGAATAACTTCAGAAGCTGACTGTGCATATAATGTCAAAGAAAGGGCTGTCCTCACATAGCAATTCAGATCTGAAAAAAGAGTTTATTTTGATTCCCTATCTGTTGTTAGGTATTGAACTGATTTAATATGTTAGTCTGCAGTTTCATTCTAGCCATATAATAGCTCACAAAATGTATGTACACACACTCACCATCATCTAAACTTTAGAGTGCATGGATATTATGATACGCACTGATCTCTCTCTCTCTTTTTAATGCAAAGGAACACTAGGAGCAATCTTTGCAGTTTTACATAAAGAACCCAGCAGCGTAACAGACTCATTGTTGATGTAAGTTAGAAGCTTCCTGCTTCACTACTGAGAAGCACACATTGCATTCAACTCAACTAAGCCTAGGGAACAGCAGTTGAGGCACACAGCAATGGAGAAGAGGGAATTACATCACAGAATTATTCTTTCCACCATTCCTCCAACTACACTGTTTTCTCCCTTCGCCAACATTACTAACATTCAATATCTGACTGAGAAAATGCACCAGGCAGAATATGGTGAATTTGATGTCATTCCTAGAAATTAGGAGCAAACCCATAATGTTAGGCATTAAGAAAGCACCTCTGGAAATGTCCACAGGGAACCCAACACAACCCACCTAGTCTTCTTTCTGGGCTGATAACAGAGCTGCAGTTGTGCACCCTGCGATATCTTCACTGGTCCTGCAGTGGGTGGGTGGCACAGACCTGAACTAAACCCTTTGGCACAGCATGAACAAAGTGCTACAGGGGCACCTCTGATCATCATCGCTTATCTTTCGTTCAGTAATAAGCACCTTTTTTTAACTCCTATCTGACAAACAGCATGAACTAATAATTGAAATGGTCTTGCTTTATTTGCTGTGTATAAATGAGGAAGAAACTGACTCTTGTTGTAGAAACATCCACTCTTTTAAAGCTTTCTCAGTCTAATTTTGTCAAAAAGTGGTCCGAGTGTTAAATACAACTCATTTTTCTTATGAGTTGGACAAATCTTAGCTGCTGAGTTGACTGGACAAAAATGAGGCATTCTTAACCGAGTAGAACCACTTTATTCACAGTGAAAATGATAGGAAGGAGAAGAAAAGATTTTAGAAGGGTGGGCATTTTCCCGCCCTTAGGAAAATCGGCGACTGAATGTAATTCTGAGGCTGCACCGAGAACCCTGGAGGAGAGCACCAGCAGATTTAACGTGCCGCATGTACTTTACCACGGGAAAGTGGGAAGGAAGAGGAGTACGGGGTCTTCCAATCCATTCCAGCACTAATTAGGAACGGGGGATGCGAGGCTGGCAAGAGTCCACCCATTTCTGGAGGATTCACGCGTCCATTCGCTTCAGAAAATTCCAGCCACCCTTTCGTGCGCCCCCGATCAAGTTTTTCCCGCTGTCCCCGCTTACCTTCCAGCCAGCCGAGCTGTTGCTGTCGCCCTTATCCTTGAAGTAGGGCACGCAGCGCACCATCCACTCATAGATTTGGGACAGGGTGAGGCGCTTCTCCGGCGAGCTCTGAATGGCGCGGGTGATCAAGTCCGCGTAGGATAAGTTCCCCCACGCGTTCCTCCGGGACGAACATTTTCTCGGCGCGGCCACCGCTCCTTGCTGCTGCTGCTGCCCGCCGC